CCCTATACCCCCTAATTAAGCATATTTCAGCTTATAGGATAGGTAATATATAATATTTATATACTAAGTTATTATATTAATAAACAAAATATATAGATATCCTAGTGGTGTGGCTAGAATACTAGAAAAATGGGTGGTAATTAGAATACTAGGGGTCACCTGACTAGGTATTATGGATATATCCATTATCCGCAATCCAACCCGCATGGATATGAGGGTGGGTTAGATAGGTGGTGGATCAACCCATAACCCACATGGGTTGGATTGAACCCCTTGCGGATCAACCCATAACCCACATGGGTTGGATTGAACCCCTTGCGGATCCATCCAAACCCAATCCACGACCAGTCTACCCTTAATTACTAGATATCTCTATTTTAATAGGCTTTTATAGCAATCACAGGATATTTTATTAATAATAAATAGAATTATTAAGAAATTTTACTTAGTTTTAAACTACTTCATGGATCTCACTTAGGTACTAACCTAAGTACTATTCTTTTTAATCTACTTCAGCAGTATAAGATTATAGATTATATACTTTCTATTATAATAGATAATACATTAAATAATATTATATTAATAGAAAGTATATAAGGTTTAATCTAGTTAAATTAAATTAGCACTAATACTATAATTATCTGTATTCCCTATATTATGCATGTGATCTAGCTCAGTTTATAGAAGCTTCTTAATTAGATAAAAGCTAATCTAAAGAATAAGATAATAGAGATTAATTAGTTAGAGGCCTAATTATAGTTACTATAAGTAAGATAGTAAAAGTAAGAGATTATTAATACCCTTAATAAAGTAAGTCTCTTTATAATATAGTATTTAGATTAGTATATTAATTATTATAATATTACTAGGTAAGGGCGCTTATAATTTTTATTAATACAAGCCCTTAATATTATAAAGCCTTCTATAATCTCTAGACTAGAGCACTAAAGCTTATACTAATCTAAGATATTAGGACTTACTAGAATTCCACCTTCTTAATACTCTAAAGAGTAAAGAAACTACAGCTAATCTTTAATTAGTTCTACTCATAAAATAGTTATGATCACTTAATACTTAACTAAGAAGAATAGTACTAGATTAAGTATCTTCTTTAGATTACTTAACTATTCTTTAAATTTACTACTATACTCTCTTAAATAAAAGATGTGACCATCCATGTTATCTTTAGTATCTATAATAAATTTTTAATTATCTTAAAGTATTAATTTATTAGCTTTAATAGAAGAAAGTAGCCTGGAGGAAGCTTATGCTTAGTGCTCTCTATATAGTAAAGAAGAAGCTATCTATCTACTATAGGGAAATAGATAAGATCTATAGTAATCTATTTATAATTAGGATAATCCTTATACTATAAAATAAGCTTTAGTTCTTTAGTAATAAGGATTAGGGCCTTAAATTATATAATTAATATTACAAAAGCTTTAAAACCTATGTAGGTCCATATAAGGAATACTTATCAGCTATATAGGGCTTACTATAGGTATTATCTTGAAATATTAAAGATTAATGTGCTTTTTGCTCCTAATTTTAATTAATTAGTAAGTACTAATAAGACTATATAGTATCTTAAGAGTGGTAAGTAATATTAGTATTCCTGCTAACACTCTATTAATTAATATTATCTAATAAAGATAGCCCTAATTACTCTATGGATATTCTGGAAAGAGCATAAATATAAATTTCCAGCTCTTGCAAAAATAGCATGTAATATACTCTTAATACCTACTACTAATACTAGTATTAAGTAGCTTTTTAATTCTACTTAAGATATCTACTATTATTATTAAGGCTCACTTAATTCTATAATAATCTAAGATCTAATGCTATTTATGTGTATATTAAGATTTAAAATAGAAGAGAAGGAACTTTCTCTTATAAAATAATATCTTTTAAATAAGGAATAGCAAGCCCTTAATAAAGAGAAAGATACTTAACAGCTTTAAGATACCCTTAAGCTAATCAGTGATAATAAAGAAGATAATAGCCTAGAGATTAGTATAGACTAGCTAGCTATCTAGCAGCTATCTAAGCATGCATAGGGTAAGAGATAAAGGAGTATAGTATCTAATAATAAGTAAGAGGGCCAGGAACCTTTTCTATTAGATAATGAAGTAGTTCTTCCCTTACCTAATATATAATAGCATATCTCTAGATGACATTAGAAGTATATAAGGCATAAGGATGATTAGTTCCTTTATTATTAGTTATTAGTATTATAGGCTAACCTATGACATGCACTGCATTATATATATAGCTGTGGTTATATAGTGATAGTTAATTATTATAATAATTAGTATATTAGCTATATATACTTAGCTTCTCCCTTCTTCAGTAATAGTTAGAGTATAGCTCTATACTAGGATTCTGGCCTGCTTGAATTTATATATATAGTTTAAATACCTATAAATATAAGATAAGACTATATAATTAATGCATATCACATGATCTGTGATGTTTATCTGGTTTATCTACCTAACTGGGTTACCCAAAACCCAGCTGGGTTCTATATGAAAGCCCAGAACCCAACTTAGAACACACCCCTTAAGCCCAAAACCCAGCCCAAGTTAGGTTTGATACATGTTTCAGTTGGGTTACCCGGAACACCTGCCTAGGTCTAAGATTAGCTATAGTTGTGGTGTTGACCCGAACCTATGACTCCCTATATAGAACCATCCAACAGGGACCCTGGCGGCGTGGTTAGCCATGCAGGGTCTGGGAGAGGGATTCCAGTGCATGGAGGGTGCTTAGTAATGACCAGGGCTGCCCCATCACTGGGCTGAATCATCAGTTTGGGTCATAGGAGTAAGGGGACCGCCAATTCACAGGCCTGAACTGGGTGGGAGGCAGAGATATATATTACTACTGCAGAGGGGCACCTACAGCGTGAGATTCCACCCCCTAATGGGTACTAAGTTTGGCACAGATGATTATACAGCCACCCTGGCAGATCAGGGCTCCATGACTGGGACGATCGGAGGCAGCATGATAAGATGAACTAAAGGAGACCCCAATCACCCCGCCCAGACGGCAGGGGATGCGGTGGTGGTGGGATGCCATTACTGGGATGGGGGGTCGCAGGCGCCATAGCCAACGGCCTGATGGGGATGGGCGGAGCCTGCTTGTAGGGATGGCACTTTCATGCCAAAATTGGATGAGTTCTCCCACAGCACATGCATACCAAGCTCTGCATTATGTAGCATTTTTTATTGTCCCTCAGACATCCCTCCACAGACTGTAGTTCTGCGTATATTTAGTGCAGTAGTTTCTTGATTCGATCCACTAATTCACCTGTTAATCATGAGATAAACCTCCTCCAAGTTATGCAAACAAGTCTTACTTTGAACACCATCAGGTAAAAGGTCCATCATATCCACCATCTCCCATTTAGTAAAGAACTTGAACACTCGGTCTGGCGTATATAACGAACACAGAGCTATTCACGCGCCAAAGAACACCAATTGCGCTGCCTCTAGGATTTAGAGCTCCTCCATGGGCGGGTTTAGCTATGCGACAAGTACCATACATGGTATCCCAAGCATGGGAGGCTCGCTTCAGCTTGATTAAAAAAAAGCAAGGAACAGGCAGTTATTTTAGTAGGCCACAATGTTTATCTTACCTAACCTTTTTATGAAAGTCGAAGCTCCATTACCCCCTAATAATGGTGGTATTGTTCTTACACGCCTCCTATATACACCAGGGGCAACATGGGAGCAGGAGTGAGATTGGCAGTGAGCCTCACCAAACCACGGAACCTTACTTCAACAGGGTCCCAGTTCGCACTCGCTTCCAGTCACACTGACCACGCATATTGAGCTGTATACAAGCCTGACATGACATCATGCAGTACGGTATGGCTCAATACCTGGTCAGTATTAGAAGATATTTATCTTGCAGCTCTTCCTATTTTGTACTAGTGGTTCCTGTTTTAGGGCTCTGGAGACAAAGCAACAATCTTTGGGGGGTGACACAGGTTTTGGCTTCGAGTGCAAGGTGCTGTGGTGATCTAATTATACTTATTGAGTCCTGCAAGACGAGCATACTCCAGGTCCTATTTAAATGGGCAAAAGGCGTGGGGAGAGTGTGTGACACAACCCATGAATGGCCTGGAGTGGCGTAGCCCTTGCTTCTGTGATCTAAGTCATTGAACAAGTTGTTCGGATTAGGCTGTCAGCTTCTCGTATTGTACTGAGTTGGGATATAATATGAAGGTAAATATGTGCATGAATAACTTACATTGTATCAAAGGTGATTATGACCGGTCTTTGAATGTGGTTGGCTCAATAGAATAATCACGCCAAGCTTCTGGCGGCGGGGCTAACAAATAATTGACGTGAGTTTGGGGGTCAGGCTGATTTCGAGAATCTCTGTAAAGGACATGTCTACTCTGGAAGGGAGAATATACACATCGTACTACAAGCATTCCTTGCGACATACCCATGGAGCCGCGGTCTGACGGGGGACAGCATCCACCATCGCATTCACGTGGGGAACGGGCGGATGAATTTGGGGGTACTTGGCCGGGGCCAGAAGTGGGGAAACCAGCTGAGATTCTAGACTGACGAATTCCTTGATTCCAGGAGTATCTCCACACCACTGAGATCATCCTTACTTGACGTGGATCACTGTCGACAGGACGCCCATCCAATGTTGAGAAACTGACCGCCGGGATGCAACGGTATCCCGTGCGGTGTCTGATGCGGAGTACATGCAGTGGCTATAATGCGCATGTCTCACCTGCCACCCGTGTTGATTGGCGGGGAAATGGATACCCGAGTAGTGGCCTGACAATCCAGGACGTTGAATGGGCCAGGGCGCCGCGATGTCTTGGATGCTCTTCTTGGATGTTCCTCATCGGTAACTCATTGGTACTGCGGTGTTTGAGTAGCAGAGCTATATGAAGCCCGGGCTTCCCCTCATCTAATCGGGGGTGAGACAGGTACTTTAACTATTCCTTGCTAACCTTTAGACTAATATCCGCCATGAAGACTTCTCTGATTGCGTTCGGTACCCTCCTCGGCCTGACCTCTGCCCAGAATGCCATCGTGAATAACGACTGTAGCACCACCGTGTACGTGCAGTCGTTCCCCTACGATGGCAGCGCCCCCGGCCCTCTGACCACCATTCCCTCGGGCGGAACATTCTCGGAGAAATTCAGAGCCTCTGGATCGGTACGTTTATCTGTTCTGCCCTAAAGCCAGATAATGAGAGAGGCTGACCAGAACGAATGCGCAGACCATCAAGATCACCAAGACCAAAACGCTGGATAAGCCTCTCTTCTTTGGCTATTCATTCTCTTCTAACCCAGACTATGCGTACTGTAAGTATTCCATATCCACTTGTCCTCTACGAAATCTTCCACTAACAGCATTTTTCAGATGAGCTGAGCACCGAATGGGGTAACCCCTTCGCGGCAAACCACAACACGCTGAGCCCCGGAGAAGGCTGCGAGGAATTTGACTGCGCAGCCAACGATGCTGGCTGCTACAGTACGCCGGCTCACAAGAAGGTCTATGGTTGTCCCCAGCCGGTTACTTTGACGGCGTCACTGTGTGTATAACCATCTATCTTTCATACACTATACAACGATTTAGGGGGATGGTTATCACTCTGCTTGCTTCCCTGAAACTATCACACTCTATCAAGGTCTTTTGCAAAAGTAAAATGTGTGATATACACGGCTATTGGCCCCGCCTAGTCCTATGAACCAACCGTACCTTTTAGTCTTAATCAACAAGAATCCGATCGGTAGTAGTCTTATCCATGGCTGGTTCTCAACCATAGTTAGTAAGTATAAGAGTTCAGATGTAGAGATTTCAAGGACGATATGTGCGATGGCTTCTTGCTCTGCCATGTCCCAGTTGCATGGTTTTTAATTGCAGGCCCCAGGTGGATATTGTACCTACCCTTATCCTGCGACAAGAAGCATGCGACGTCATTGGATAAAACCATAATTAGCAGCATCGAAGGTGCAGCTCTGTAGCTAGCTATATATATACAATCTACTGGGCGGAGACATAACGATACCAGCTAGAGGACGTTGGACAAAGTTGTAGACATACTCGAAATCGCAGCGGTTCGGTTCCAACTAGGATTGAACTTGCCCGAACTCGGACTGAATGCAACTCTAATATTACCTAGTAATCATAACAGGCAATCCATAGTGGAAGTAGTTTAAAGTTTAAACTATAAGTAGCTATAGGGAGTTAGGCTACTTAGGGAGGTTCCTAGCCAGTAGGGTATTATTAACTAGGCTATAAGTTACTACTATAATTACTAGGTTATGGGAGTGTATAGGTTTGCTAATAGAAATATATATTATAATAATTAGAATGAACTACTTAGCTTCCTCCAAGCTGTTTAGTTCCCATATTTTTATTCTACATGTGCGGAGTTCGGGCAAACTATTATGCAAGCAAGAGGGGCCCCAACGGGGGTGCGCCAGTGGCTCAGCACGTGACACAAGCCATGGACAAAACATATATCGACTGTAGCGTTGGGATAGTCATGCAGAACTTCGACGCCGTCAGGAAACTTGGGCGGCAAAGAGTCTTTCGCGGACGGCTGCGATAATTTCGGCGGACCGACCATATCCATGTAGGTTGGATCAGGGTTGACCCCCATCCAACCCAAAGCATTTGATGGGTTGGATATGGATTTTTGGATTGGTTCAACCAGTCTACGTAATTCTTATAGTCTCTAGATAGAGTGGATATAGACTTTAGAGTAGAAATAGATATAGACTCTGCTAAGGCAGGATATGGACTCAGTATAGTGACTGTATAGTGCAGCTTAAAGTACATATTTTATGAGGACTGAGAGAGCTTGTAGACAAGATTATGGGCATATGTTAGGAGCACGTGGAAATTTACCTCATAGATAGCCGATATTACAAGCAGAAGTCCTCCCCCGTACTCAACTAAATCTTTGACCGTTTTATGATGTTGGAGACTTGATATGCTACCGAACAATTTCAGTACACCAAACATGTGCGGGAACCGCGAGTAAAAGGCGGCTCACTTGTGAATTGTTATGTTGAACAGTGCCTTGCTGGGAGAAAAGTAAAGGTTCGGCCTGGCCCGCACCGCCCACCACGGCGGCAACCCCGCACTGGTCTGCGGCTGATTCATTGTACTTATTCATACTAGTGGCCAGTGTGGGAGCCATGGTAATAATCCATACCTCGAGCAGAAATACATATATGTGTATATAACCTATATACTAATGTAGGAGGCCACACTGTAGGTAGGCACGACCAGCTGACCACAAAATTCCAAGTTTTAGGTTTTTGCCGATGTTAATTACCATGTCCCATCCGTTACCTGCATCCCTTCGAGCAGCCTGCGCTCATCCGGACTCACTATTCACCCTTCCAGAAGAGGATCTCCTGCGCCTGGTATATAAGGAGTTTCCCCAAGAGATCGACCGTCTCAAGAGAGCATACTCCGTTCGGCCCGTCGCCCCTCAACCGCGCCCAACACCCCGTCGCCCTCATACATCCTGTACCAAAAAAACTTCGATGAGGTAAACCGGACGCTCGTAGCACTCCTGACGCTACGATGGATTCACACAGGACAATATGAGATCTTCGTTGGTTCCCAGCCTCCAGAGCTCCGCTTATCGAGCTCCTCATTCGATTGGATCCGGAAATTCTACGCCCAAGTCATCAAGAGCCCTAACGATCTCTACATCCTCATCACCTCCGTCGTCATTAATGATCTAGGCAAGGATCCGCAGCTCGCATCGGACTGCCGCGACCTAACGGGGAAAGACATCTCTACTCTCAACCACGACGCCATCCTCCTCAACGCCTGCACGACCGCACAGAGCCTCGTCCCAGCGCTGGCTCGCTTCTCCGCCCCGCAAGACAGGGACAAGCTCATCAGGGGGATCAAAATTGGCGCATCATTCAACTTTGGCCAGCTGGCACAGGCAGAAAATGCTCCCGCCTGCCTATCCGTTTTTCAGATGATGGAGGCTCCTCACCACCGCCACAGCTTCCAGCTCCGCTTCATGGAGCAGCTACTTGATGTTGCTGGCACGGCAGGTCACCTGGACTGGACCTGTGCGAAGACTCTCATCCAGCCGGTTTTTAACGCGTATTGTGATGTCTACGATGCCTGCGAGGGCGTCATGGCTGGCACACTCGATGTGCGCAGTGGATATGACCTTGTCTTGGCTCGACGGGCAGATCGGCTCCATAGCACGGGATTCCGGCTGCTTCATGTGGAGGAGGATAGAGAAGACCGTGCCCTGATGCGGGTGTTATGCATGGGGAGCGTGACGTCGCTGGACACCGCGCGGCGCTATGAAGCCGCATGGAGGACTCTCGGCAACGCGACCCGGGAGGCGCTGGTAAACGATCTTAATATTGTTGGCTCGAAGGATGCGCCAGCCGTCCAGCCGACTTACATGCCGGCATTGCTTTGCAGCGTCCACGATGACCAGCGAGCGTTGACATGTGCATTGGGGTATCTTGCTCGGGTCATGGGTGCGACGAAGAATCTGACCAACTCCACACCGGTGGTTATTGAGAGGAGTGTCTTGGGCGTGCTGAAGCAGTACATTGAGAACGAAGATTTTGGCCCTACTGTTCTGGAAAGGGTTGATGTACCAGATGCTGCGGTTGCTCTGTAACTGGCGCGATATCTCTTATACACGATCATCAACTATTAAATACCCTTACATGCACAGTTTAAGAGCATGAATGTATATTCTTGAAGCGCGGTCTAGTTTAAAACTTCCACGGCGCTGCATTTACCCTTTGCTTTCATTTCCTTTGCTGGATCTAGAGATGCTCACATGTACATAGCCAAGGCCATCGCCGTATTCATTGACGTTGTCAGATTCGTTAAACCATCGTCAGCCTACGTCCCATCACGGCCAATTCGCTTGTTATGCTTCATCTTCTTCTCAAAGTACACACTCATCCACTCCCGATTCCGGGGCATCAACCCCCAAGCGGCCATGTGTGTCTCTTCCTCCTCCGTTAGGCCCAACCAAGCATAAAGATCTTGCCGGCGCTCGACAATTTTCTTCTTTGTCGGGGGAGGACGAGCAGGTTCCAGGTCAAGGACGGCGCTTGCTCGTCTCCTTCCACCCTTCTTCTCGACGACCGTCACCACCTGAGGTAGTTTGGGCTCCCCTTGATCTTCGCTCCACTCGCTATACCAATCCGGGTAGGACGAGACAGTCGCCTTTAACCTCGAGCCCACCCAGCAAGTATATGACCAGGCCTCTTTTTCATCGTCGTCATTGCGTTTGCGGCTCATAACTGCTTTCCAAATCCTCCTCCCCATGTGCGAATCATCACAGCCAAACTTGAAGGCGGTTAGGATCGTCGCGGTGACCATCACCACCACTGTACATATTTGCGTGTATAGGGCCGACATGCCAATCGTGACCACGTGCACGCCGAACGCGACCCAACCCAAGAACCGGGTCGCCTGGTAGATGCCATGATTTGGCACATCCGGGGCGGTCGTAAACAGTAATTGGATTAGATGAGCGGCTGCAGCAATCGTGACAGCTTTCGACTCGTCGGTTATCACGATGACTTTAGCGATAGCGCAGGGGTCCTTGGGCGCGACGGGAATGGCCATGTGTTGCTGTTGTTGGTGTGGCTGTTTGTCTTTCTCGAGATTCGTTATCGTTTCGTCATATTTGTCCCGTTTCTGCGGATAGTTGTAGTTGCGCGCTTCCTGCTGCGCTCGACTGACATTGGCATCTATCCCGGCGCAATTCTGCGCGACCAGGATACATCGCACAACTACAGACACTATCATCGCCATCACATTGGCGAACCCCCACCAGTCCGCCGTCAGCACAGTCAAGGCAATAAGCATCCCGTGGACCGGCAGCGCCACAAGCAACACGCCGACAAGGATTGTCTTCCACCTTGAGGGCCGTTGGTGCTCAACAACCTCCCAGGTAATAACACTTCGCGCCTGACGCAGTTCCTGTGCGCGCAGCCATCGCGAGAACCAGCCCGCCAGCTCGGTCGTCACGATTCCTGCGGAGATGTTGTACAGCGTGAAGCCGAACTGCTTGGAGGTGAACCGGTTTCCCGCCACGACGAAGGCGCCCAGGAGAGGCATGTAGTCTAGGTAGTGGCTCGGGACGAGCCGCCCCACTATGCGGTCCATCTCCTCCGCGCCCAGCAACGTTACCAGGCCGAGCGCGTCGATGCGTAGACCTGCTCCCTCTGCCCAGGTGTTCAGGCGCTGGTGCCAGGGATACATGGCTGATTATGATGAAGACTGACTGCCAACCGGTAGTCAATATGTTAGTAATAGTGTCGTGAAGAGAGGGGCTGCAAAGGCCGTTTATAATCAGTCATACTGCCATCTGCAACGATCTGCCAGCCTTGGCCTTCTTCTTCTTTCCTTTCTTTTGGTGGGCGGGAGGGTAGGCCAGAAAAATCGTCTAGGAAGGAATTTAACGATAACTGTTTTTCGCGGGATAATGGAAAGATTTCAGAGAGTCTTGCAGACGTACATAGAGGTACATATTCATACAGATATTCCGTGTGTCTATGTACCTTAGGAGATTATGGCCTTTCCTTGAGCCAGGCTCCTTCAGCCTTCAGCTGCAATCAGAATTGATCAGGCTGCATTAGACACCGCTCGAGCCTTGACGCCAGTCCCGAGCAGTATTAGCCTGCCGGCCCGCAACAATACTCAGTCGAATTAAAAACAGTTGTCAGCCGTAATATTATGAATGATGTCTGACTGCGATCCCGCGAAAATCGGAAAAGACAAGCTCAAAAGAACAGATTAGGTGAAAGCAACAGACCAATCCTAACGACGAGGGGGCCCTCTCTCCAGTGACTCAAATAAGGAAAAATAGGGTTCCATTTCAACGCCGTGGACATTCTTTGACGATTACTAGTTGAAAGGAATAAGAGCATTCAAAACGCACTCAAACACTGGTAATTTCGTCCCAGTCGCCCTAACTACTCTGAGTACTTCACTCTGACGTGAGAACTAGTTACCTGAATAATATATGACACATAAACACAGTCCACAACTGCAGCGCCGGAAGGGCTGTAGCTGACTTGTTGACAAACCAACCAGCAGCGACAGACCTTGTTATGGAGGGTAAGGGACCCAGGCCGAATACGAGGGTGAGGCTTAGCGGGGACAACACGGACGGGGCTCGTGCCGATCCAGACCCCCTTTTACACCAAATGCTCCATAAGAACGGATTAGATCAGCAGAATAATTCAGGGAACAGTAGTAGGCGATTTTGAGGCGCTGCGGACTGTGAAAGGGGCGTCCAGATTCCTGTCAGAGCACCGTATGTATTGCGCTGATTGGGTGCTAAGACGAGTCTGAAAATATCATTTACCGAGTTGGAAACTGACCTCCGAACTAAGCATTTGTTGGCTAGTTGTGAAAGAGGAGTCAGATTATTAATTTCCACAATTTTGCGCACGGGGCCAAGACAGCCTCGTCTGACGACCAGCTCTCTTCTGGCGAGGTTGAATATTATATAGCCGTTGAATGCTCGCCACTAAAAGGTACTCAGTAGGGAGATAATTACGCTCCATAACAGGGGTGGAAAAGGAGGCAACATGGAAAAGACAATGGCGGCACCTTCACAGGTTCCCATCACCAACGAGCAACAGCAATCCCACCATGACGATAGCCATTTCCATCTTCCCTTCGTCAGCACCAACCGGGCAAAGGACCATCTCACTAGACAGTACAATGGCAAATGGTCGATAAGAGGGAGATTCCAGCGACCAGCCATAACCGCAGACCAGCTTGATAATCGCGCGCGAGAGCTGGAAGATGCCCGCGGCGTGTACAGAAAGCGACGGTATCGAAATGCTGATGGCGATAACTCGCACGAGAAGTATCCCGACCTCGACACGTACTACAGCACCAATAAGGAGATCCCTCGTCGGCTCGCTGTGCAGGCGACCCCGGAAGCGCATAATGATACTCGGCCTCGGCATTGGGGTCTGCGCAAGATCAAGGGTCACTCACCGCTTATTATTCGGTTGGCCGAGTTTTGCTTGAATCCGCTTGGATATGAGTATGATGACAAAAAGGAAGATTATGACGATGACCCTGACGAAGATGAGGCGATCCCCCATGAGAAGCAGAAGGAGAGGAAGGGTTTGGGCCAGGTGATGAAAGATCTTTGTCGATGGACCCTGCATGCCCTGGCATCGACGGTCTGCACGATACTCCTCGCGTGGGTTATCCAGTTGATGCTCTCTATCCAGATTGTCACCGCGCCATGGACAGATGACGGGTCGAGCGAGCCGTACGCGGAATACGAGAACGTGCAGTGGTACTGGCCTAAACATGCAATCAACCCGCTCGATCAGGCGCCGGCACCGAACAACGACAAGCCGCAGTCGCAGGTCGCCAGACTGGCGATCCCTCGCCGCCTGGTGGTCAAAGACGCCTCCACAGGCCGGTGGGTGGCGAAGAAGACCAACGACCTCCGTGATCCGAAGACCGGCCTGCTCCCCCCGTACATTTTCCTCAGTTTCTCGCGGGCGAATTTCCTTGGCAAATCAGACGAGGCCCTGCGGCCTTTTTTCGATCGGGTCGCCGAGAGCCTGCTAGCTCATGAGAATGAGCACAGCCAGGATGACGTACCGGTGCAGGCGTTCTGGGTGGACGTGTATTGTGTCTCGCACGCAAGCAAAGAGCAGAGGACCAGGGATGTCCACACAATCTGTGACGCCGTTCGCTGTGCAAAGCGCGTATATGTGGTCCTGCCCAATGACGATCCGGAACACAAGAAAATCTGGGGTGCGCGCATTTGGACCTTGCCGGAGGTTTTACTCGCTGCGGACAGAATTCGATATTGTTTCTCGTCTCCACCTGCAGCGGGAGAAGTATACGATAGCCAGGTTACCTCAAGACCGCACGAGCTCACATTGACCGACATGCTCGAGAGCTTCTGGCCTGGGTCCAGCCCCAAGTCATGGAAGGAAGACGACGATGACAAGGAAGACCCATGGAAGGACGATGGCAAGGAAGACCGCAGGTTGGAGCAGCAACACGAAGAGGCAATCGGCCACCTCATCAACCATTACAGCAACTCCGCAAAACTGAGCGAGTTGCAGCTGTTTACCTGTGCAGTCCAGGCCCTAGCGGAACGAGCCGAAGGGAAGTCGACCGAGGGCTACACGACGACCGACCTGGCCTACGCCGCCATGGGACTGTTGGCCTATCGAATTGTCCCCAATGCCTCGGACAACGCCTTTCAAGCCATCGCTCGGCTCTCGCTGGTTAACGATAGCAACCGATTGCTCGAGCGCCTTGCCTGCCTGTGGCCGCACCCAGCAACGAAGAACGATCAGGAACAGGACCTCATTGTGGCCGGCAGCGAGGAGCTTCTGCGCAATATCGCGGATCGCGATCAATACTCGGTCCATCTCTGGGACATCCAACCCATGTGCGATGTCGTGGGTATCGGTGATGACCCATTCACGCCCACTGTTATCCTGGACCGCTGTCGAGCGATCCCCATCCGGTGGAAGGATTTCCCGAAAATCAAATATGTCAAGGACCTCAATGGTTTCCGTGCCACCGTATCGCAGAAAATCGTGTACTGCGGCGCTTGGTTCCTAGCAACCGGCTTCGGCCTCTTCGCGTCCGGGCTCGCGCTCCTCTTCTCGGTTTTGCCCTACGACAACAGCAACAGTAACCGTGACGATCGCGCACCGCGGCAGCAGAACGAAGTCCAGCCGGCCATGTATCTCTTGGGCGTGGCTTTGTTCATTGGCTGTGGATGGGTTATCTCGTGGTTCAGTCCGTGGGCGGTGCGACAGCTCTGCAACGGCGGATACACGGGGGTCTCATGCCATTTGGTCGGGTTTGAAGGAACGATGCCACTGGAAGAGATCGAGAAGGCCATCTGTGGCTTCGACAATAAACGTTTCTCCTATGCTGCCTCGTCGACCATCTTCTCCCAAAACCTACGCCATCCCAAGATACGAGCCGGCAGAGCCCCGGGCGAAGGAGGATGGGCGGCAGAAGCCAAGCGCCTCGGAGTGCCTCCAGGCCACCGCCTGTTCACCATTGTGGACACAGGGAACTGGACCGTGTCGGTGATTGCTGCTGAACGACCACCTGTGGTGGCCTTGATCTGTGGCCGCGAGGGCGGTATGCTCCGGACCCTCCTGTGCAGCTGGCGCTTCGAGAACAACTGTCTGTACCGCGAGTGTGTGGTGCGCATGCGGAGCTCGCTGGAGCACCTCGCCACGCCGAATGACTGGCTGAAGGTCAGCTTGGCTTGCCAGGGCGATGTGGCTCGCACACGAGTGAATCACCGAAGCCTGGAGAAGCATCCAAAGCGCGCGCCCACTCCTCAGGTTGCTGTTTGGGCGTCAGGGTAGTCGCTAATGTCGTATCTTCCTACTATGTTGACGTATAATACTATAATGCTTGTATGGCTATATAGTCCCTGCGTCGCTGAGTTTTAGAATAACACAAACGGACAGAGAAAATGGCGTACCATATACATTTCCGTCCATGCTGATTACATGTGACTACAGTGGGGTGCAACAAGTGTCGACCACCTTACCTTACCGCCTACTATAAACTACATGAAGGAGTTTGATTCCATTATAACTCATAATTTGTAGACCCACCATCCCAGGACAATATTCATGAGAAAAGTGAGGACGAAGTAGAATAGGCACCTGTTTCTGTAAATAGTTGAGATAGGCAAATACAGCTTCCGCAGTGATTCCGTCTTATCGAAAAAATTTTTAGTTTGACAGCTTCTCTGGACTTATTTATTTCCCCAGGATAGCATGCTCGCGATCTGACTGGTCAAATCAGAATTTCAAAATCCTTTAGTTACCGCAGGCGGTAAGACGGTTGACAAATGCTGCAAGTTGGGCGTCAGGTGATAGGGAGCTAGTCAGGTGGTGGGCTACGGTATCCGTGGTTGGCGCCATTCATTCTATCTACAGGCCTGAACGACGGCGAATATTCCAACTGCTGATGATAGCTTTTCCAAGATCTTAAGAGCCCCGACAGTCTTGTGCCGCCTTATCTTACTTACGAAAGCTTTGCACATTGTCAAGAAGGTCGACATTTTGGAGTCAGGTTATCTTTTGAGGTGATTGCGCACAATGCAATGTTCCTGTTACACTTGTCGCCGGCAGCATGTTAAATGCATAAATGCATAATGGCCTAACCGCCCTGCAAGAAATGCACAAACGCTGGGCTAGAATGTTTTGAGAAAAGGCCTCTTAGATGGGCTGAAGGTGCGACCTACTAAGGGAAAGTAGGCACATTGTCAGCCATGAATACTTACTATACCATACTTAGGCTGTTTGCATCTTTATTAAACTTCCTCTCTTTATAATTGTAGTGCCTGGATATCTCCTGCTAGGCTGATTATTCATCTAAGATCATCTTATTAATTAGCTTTACTAGTTACAGCATAAACAGTTCTACTGGTTCCTTAATAGTAATTATCTGATCATCTAGATTAATATATTTCT